CCAGCTTGGGCCTCTCCTGACAACTACCTGGTGAGAAGCTTTGGTTCTGGGGTTCAGACCACCTGGCCTGAATCTTGGCTCAAACTCCGGTAGCTGTGTGGCCTCATATGAGTAACTTCGTATTTCAGATACTTCTTCCAACGGGAGCAGGAGGTGTTGCGCTGAGCAGAGGAAATGCAGCCATGCCTGGCAGGCCCCTGGGCAGCATGGAGGCTGGGGGGTTACCTCTGCTTCTGTCAGAGGAATCTCTGGGCCACCATTTCCTCGGTAAAGACAACCAGGTGGCCTCTTCTTGGAAAATCTGCTGGGGAAGCCTCAGCATCTGGATGACTTGTAGTGACTGAAAACCCAGAATGTCACTTACAGTCTTCTGCTTGGTAAGCTGACAGATAACATGGATTTTTTTTTTTTTTTAATATAGCTTGAAAAGACTATCTTGTATTTGAAAAGAAATGAAAGGCTAATGTTGAAACTATCATAAAGAGTGAAACTACTATTTGTCTAATGAAACTATTTCCTGAGAATTTCAGTTGATCTGTCAGTGAGGAATTAGGGAGTGGCAAAAATAAAAACCACCAACAAACTCTTTGAAGAAAATTCTTCTCATCGAAACCATCTGCTTCCTGACTTATTGATCTGACCCATGTGACACCAAAGAACTATGAAAATGCTGGAATGAGAGAGGGCAGGGCTTCCCGGCCTTGCCTCTGCTGATCCTAGGAGTGGCTCTCTGGAAAAAAGGAAGCCTGGTCGAACTTCAGCCCAGTCCATGTCTCTTAGAGCTGGGCGGGCACGTGAGCATGTGAAGGTCAGACATCCTCCGATAAAGGAGGATGGACGCCATAAGCCAGCTCATCCTAGAAGCAACAGAAGCCACCCTTCAGTTCCAGCTGTACGGGAACCTCCCTTCTCTTACACCCTGACACCGAGACCTCAGCTCCCTCTGCTGGTTTTCCCTCACCTCCCCAAACACTCAGTGTTGGGGTACCCCAGGACTCAAGAGTCAGGCCATTTCTCCTCAACTCATTCTGTAGAAAAATACCTGTGAACGGTTCCAAACACAAAGTGAAGCCCCTGGTTACACTGGAGGAAGAGGACAGAGAATAATTCTTCAGACCCAACTCACCCTCCAGCTGCCACTTCACGTCCTTTCATTCACAGCAAAGTTCTTTAGAAGACTTGCTTGTCCCTATTTCCTCAGATTCTGTCCTTCCATTCTCTCTAAACCCTCTCCACTCAGGTTTTTGGCCTTGAGCACTGCACTGAAATGGCTCTTTCCCAAGGTGAGTCATGCCTTCCAAATGCTAAATCCAACCGTCTGTCCTCAGACCTAACTTCATGGGCCCAGACTGCAGGATCTGATAAAGCTGGATTGCCCTCTTCACCTTGAAATAGAGACTTTCTCTCCTTGGTTTCTGTGACACTCCCCTAGTTCTCCACCAACCTGTATGGCCATTTCTCAGTCTCCTGTGCGAGGTCCTTCACTTCCTTGGAACTCTTTTCTCCTGGCTTTAGACAAAAATCTCTTTAGACAAAGATCTCTTAGTGATCTCGTCTGTCCCTGCAGTTTTGTTTGTTTTTTTTTTAGCATTTATCTGCTGAGATTCTCAGATAGGTATCTCCAGTTTGGTCCTCACTCCTCACCTTACTCCCCACCTCAGTAAAGAGCAGCCCCATTCTCAGCGCTGCCTTCCCCAGTTCCTTCACACCTCCACTCAGTCCAGTGGCAGACTCTGCTGGCTTCATCTTAAAATGGGCACAGAAGCCAACTGGCGCTCACTGCCTATGCACGGCTTATGTTCTAGTCCATTTCATAGAGCTTGTTCACACGAGTGGCAACAGGCTCCCATGCTGGCTCCCTTTCAGAAAGCAGTGGGAATCACCTCTTCCAACGTGAGCCAGACACCGTCAGTTCTCTGCTGCCTAGCCTCCAATGGCTCCCACCTCAGGGGGAGAGCCCAAACCCTCACTATGCCCGGTAACAACCCACAAGGTCCAGTCCCCCACTTTTCATGGCGAGCCACTGAGACCGGGTTTGCCCCTGTGCCTCCATCACAGGGGGCGCTCTCCCCTGGCCGGAGGCGTCTGCTCCTGCCGCTCTTCACAGCTGGGACGCCCCTGCCTGCCTCCCGTAAGCCTCCCAACTTCATTCAGCTGTCACTTTCTCAGCGAGACCCGCATCACACTGGAGATCGCATACTTCCTAAGAGCCTCCCAGCTTGACATGCCTTTCTAACACTCACCACAAACACAGTCTGTGTCTTATCTATCGTGGGTAATACTTTCCCCGCTGGTGTGTGAGGCCAGGAGAGAACCCAGGAGCACAAGGGCTCTTGGCTCTTTGTTTACTACTGTGTTTCCAGGGAAATACCTGAATATAACGGGCACTCAACAGTATTTGTTCAATAAATATTTCATTTTAAAAAATGAGCTGCTATGTTTCATCAAAATTCTACTCCTAAGTAAACTGAGTTTTTTTAAAAGCTAAAATCTCAAAGCCAAAGAATCGAGGCTTCCTTCCCAGTTAATCATTATTAAATACGGTAATAAATCCCAGATTAGCTCTACTACTGGTTAACTGAGGTTAAGAAGAAATGGATTTTTGTCATCTTTGATGGTGAAAACCTTATAGATTGTATTTATTTCTTTTCTGCCCCAATTATGTATGGCCTACTGAACAAAAACATAAATTGCAAGATTCAGGAACTTGTACCTAAGAGGTTATCACATTAAAGACCAGGTCCTTCCTGTCTGAACTGGCTTTGCAAGTTTATAGGAATTTGGGTTGGAAGCCTGTTTTATTCAGGGGCTACTGGGGCTTATTACTAACGGCCTAGTAAGAGCTTGTTTTGCCAAGATCTTCCATTTTTAACGGAGCAGGTTCTAACTGTTGGCAGGTTCTAACTGTTCAGAATTTTACCATAATATATACAAGACCTATCAATGGAAGAAGTCAGGGGATTATTGGGCTTTTCATCCTTTATAGGAAGCACATTTAAAACATAATTAATTTTCAAGTGAAGAAAAAGCTGTTTCCAAGTACTTTAAGCATCTCCTAATAACAAAGTGTTAATACAACCCTCATTCTACATTTCTTTTCATCTCTTCAACACTGCAGCAGACAGGACAGTCCAAACATGTACAGTGCAGTGATGACAGCTCAAGAGCATAAAAGTAAATCGCCATATGTACCACAGAAGTATTTGAAAGGAATGTAAATAGAAAGAGTAGCTCAACCATATCCAAATGTCTCAATTAGTTATTACTAAAATGTTAAAATTTCACCAATTTACAGCACTGCTTTACTTACAAGACACAAAAAACTATACATAATAATCAGCAGAGAAGAATTTTAATCCTTAGGATTAGACAGAATGGACACTCCAAGTCGAAGTCTTTAAAAAAGACAGAAACGATATTATTTGAATGAATGGTACTAAAATAAAAATGTATTTTAGCAGTTAGACTTCACTTAGGGTTCAAAATCGACAACACAGGTCAGTTTCCGATGTCTGTGAGTGAAGCAGGCCAGGCATAGGACTGGCAGAGCGGAATGTCCAGGCCCCACCAAACAGGGTGGCCACCACTTGGGACCAGCTAATCATGGCTATGTAGGGAGTGGGTCCCAGTGTGGCTAAACATACTCGTACGAGAAAATGAGTTGGGAGGAAGAAAACTGTACTTTCACACAAAACTTAAAACATTTAAATCTTGTATAAAATTTTTATACAAAATTTCTATTTTGTATAAGTTCAAAAAAATTTTAGGTAATATTTTCAACTTTTAAAAAAAAGTGATGTGTTGCTGAAGCGAGCCCTTGAGCTCAAATCTGCAGGTTATGGGGAAGGAGGGACAGTGAGGATAAAAAGTATATCCAAACAACCATCTGGCCTCAAAGTTTCACCCTCAACTTCAATGTGGAGCCACTCGTAGAAGACATCTCTATGGAATGAATGCCCATGTATGCAGGGTCCTGCAGGGCCATTAGAACCTCTGAGTACACTGCATGCCTATAAATTCAGTTCCTCTCACAACTCACCTTCTTAATAATAAGAGTTCTTACAACATAAAACCAACGGGTGACACTGAAAATTTGCAACCAAAGAAACCAATGCCACGCTTTAAGTTAGGAAGGTAACATGAAATAAGAATGGCATGACCAAGATTATGGCCTTTTTTGTTTTAGGATTGAAAAAAACAGGAAAGGATTTCTTTCATCATTTGTCCACTGCTTTTGAACCAAGAGAAAGCAGAGATCATCCTGTAATCATTTCCTACTTGCTGTGAGTAGTAAGGCCAACAATTCTCGCAAATGCCTGTTTTAGTTATGTGTTGTCCTGTGGGCAAACAGCAGGCACATGTCTGCTCTGGGAAGGCACATCTACCCAAAATGTTGGGTACTAGAGGGTAACAAGGTGACGATCCAGTGTTGCGTTCACACCTGATGTGAACTATGTAAACTGATGACTGTGCACGTACACAGAGGGAGGGAAATTAAGTTTTCATTATTTTCCATGCTGCTATAATAAAAAACAAAAAAGGTTTACTCACCACTTGCAACTAACATGGAGTGTCTACAAGTCCAAGCAACAGACATTTATCTTTGCAGAGACCCAACCCTACACCACGATTAAAATGAGATTTATTTGGATAAATATGGTTAATAACTCTGAGCAGATTTATGCTCTTGCCAACATGGTGAATTCCCTCTTTGTGTTTATTCTATTTATTGCTTTGGAGCTTTGTCAAATGAATCATTTGGAAGAAACTGATGGCATAAGGCTAATTAGGGAAAAAAAATAAAGCTAACAACAACTCTGAGAAGCAAACTTGAGGCTAAGGAAACTGTCTTAAAGTTTGTTTTTCACATATTCAACCTTCTACAGTCTTCTCCTGTTTGTTTAAAGGACTTTCTAAATAGACCCAATGGGATCCTCCTGGCAGTCCTAAAAGCATGGAAAAAAAAATACAACTTTCTATATTTGAAATTCTGGGCAAGCTTAGAAGGTACAAGTAAAATCACTGATTAGCCACTTTTCCTTCTGCTCCATAAGTGCATTTGCCAAATGTAGCTGTCTGGGATGTTTCCTAGTACAGAGCTTGCTGGCGGCGCCTAACACCATCCCAGGGCAGATGGCTTCCTGCCAGGGATCAGACTCCTTCAGCTGTTGAGTAATATGGGGACTAGACTATCAAAAGCAGTTAATATTTGGCTTAGACCAAGGCCAACTTGTATCTAAGTGGTTCTTCATAAATCTAAAATATGGTCCAATAAATCCACCCAGTGGCTGAATGTCACTGGCCACTACCATGGAACTGAAGTCCTTTTTGAGAACTCATGGTCAACCTACCTAAAGATGTTCCACTGTCCAGAACTCAGGGGAATCTGAGGTTGCCTGCATTCGCCCAAGATACACTCAACAATAGCCAGTAAAGAATATTCTTCCCTCTTACTTTTAAAGTTAAAATTATTCAGTTAGGTGAACTTAACTGGAATGCTGCAGGCAACTTAGGTTTCATTTCAAAACCTCAGTTTGTAAGGCTGTCAAGTTGGTAGACATCCAGTCAGAAAGCTTTGTAAAAGGGCCCCATTACCACCATACTGGCCTGAATTGCAGGGTTGGGTGTCTGTGTACGTATGTGTCTATTCTTGTAGCTTCAAACAATTCTTTTTTCTCTCTTCTGGAATCTCTGGATTCACTTGTCAGTTGGTTTACAATAGAATTACGTTTTGTCAGAAAGGAGTAAGCCTGACCATCTCCGCCAGGGGATCAGCGTGAAAACCTAGGAGGTATCAGTCTTGTGGTAGGAGATGTGGATGGTACCTTTGGAAGCACAGTTAGTATAAACAAGGCTGCGGAGTTGCAGGGCGCGAGCCCTGAGAGACTCTCACCACTTTGGCCATCACCTGGTCCTCCCACCACCAGCAGCACATTACCCATCACAACATATGTATAAACAGCTCTATTATATGCCCTGTGGTTGCATTTTCAATTAATATTCAGAATACTAAGAAAGCATCAGTGATAGTCCCATTTTAAACATAAGGAAGCCAAGGGTTAGCATTGTAACCTGTCCCAGGTTATAAAGCAGGAGCCTCAGGAGTGAAATTCACCTCGGGCTGACTCTGAAGCCTGTTCTCTTATTATATCACACTGCCTCTTTGTACGTGGCCTTGCTGACATCTTTTAGAAACCCTCCTCCTATTGCTCCGCCAGGAATGAAGCAGCCAGAGCTTTTCTCTCGCCTAGGAAAGTCTTATCTCTTTCTGAAGTTTAGTTCATTTGAATTTTTCTACTATACTCAGCTCTTTGGATAATTTTTTTTTAATTAACCGTACTTTTTCCTTTATTATCTGTTAAATTAAATGAATATATATCTAACTTTCCTTTCTCTTTAGTAAATTGTTCCTGAAGAGGAGAAAATATAGCCAAAGAATATATGGAAAGTGAAACACATTGCTAGTTAAGCTGTCTTCAAATTAAAACAGTGATAAATTGCCTGTGAGTGAATCTTAATGTTTGATGTTAAATCAGAAATATGGTCTTTTTTTTCTTTTTTTTTGGTCTGTGAATTTGTTTTATTAGTTGGAGGCTAATTACTTTACATCATTGCAGTGGTTTTTGTCATACATTGAAATGAATCAGCCATGGATTTACATGTATTCCCCATCCCGGTCCCCCCTCCCACCTCCCTCTCCACCCGATCCCTCTGGGTCTTCCCAGTGCACCAGGCCCGAGCACTTGTCTCATGCACCCAACCTGGGCTGGTGATCTGTTTCACCCTAGATAATATACATGTTTCGATGCTGTTCTCTTGAAACATCCCACCCTCGCCTTCTCCCAGAGTCCACAAGTCTGTTCTATACATCGGAGTCTCTTTTTCTGTTTTGCATATAGGGTTATCGTTACCATCTTTCTAAATTCCATATATATGTGTTAGTATACTGTAATGGTCTTTATCTTTCTGGCTTACTTCACTCTGTATAATGGGCTCCAGTTTCATCCATCTCATTAGAACTGATTCAAATGAATTCTTTTTAATGGCTGAGTAATATTCCATGGTGTATATGTACCACAGCTTCCTCATCCATTCGTCTGCTGATGGGCATCTAGGTTGCTTCCATGTCCTGGCTATTATAAACAGTGCTGCGATGAACACTGGGGTGTGCGTGTCTCTTTCAGATCTGGTTTCCTCGGTGTGTATGCCCAGAAGTGGGATTGCTGGGTCATATGGCAGTTCTATTTCCAGCTTTTTAAGAAATCTCCACACTGTTTTCCATAGTGGCTGTACTAATTTGCATTCCCACCAACAGTGTAAAAGGGTTCCCTTTTCTCCACACCCTCTCCAGCATTTATTGCTTGTAGACTTTTGGATAGCAGCCATCCTGACTGGCGTATAATGGTACCTCATTGTGGTTTTGATTTGCATTTCTCTGATAATGAGTGATCTTGAGCATCTTTTCATGTGTTTGTTAGCCATCTGTATGTCTTCCTTGGAGAAATGTCTGTTTAGTTCTTTGGCCCATTTTTTGATTGGGTCATTTATTTTTCTGGAATTGAGCTGGAGGAGTTGCTTGTATATTTTTGAGATTAATCCTTTGTCTGTTGCTTTGTTTGCTATTATTTTCTCCCATTCTGAAAGCTGTCTTTTCACCTTGCTTATAGTTTCCTTTGTTGTGCAAAAGCTTTTAAGTTTCATTAGGTCCCATTTGTTTATTTTTGCTTTTATTTCTAAAATTCTGGGATGTGGGTCATAGAGAATCCTGCTGTGATTTATGTGGGAGAGTGTTTTGCCTATGTTCTCCTCTAGGAGTTTTATAGTTTCTGGTCTTACATTTAGATCTTTAATCCATTTTGAGTTTATTTTTGTGCATGGTGTTAGAAAGTGTTCTAGTTTCATTCTTTTACAGGTGGTTGACCAGTTTTCCCAGCACCACTCGTTAAAGAGGTTGTCTTTTTTCCATTGTATATCCTTGCCTCCTTTGTCGAAGATAAGGTGGCCATAGGTTCGTGGATTTATCTCTGGGCTTTCTATTCTGTTCCATTGATCTATATTTCTGTCTTTGTGCCAGTACCATACTGTCTTGATGACTGTGGCTTTGTAGTATAGTCTGAAGTAGGGCAGGTTGATTCCTCCAGTTCCATTCTTCTTTCTCAGGATTACTTTGGCTATTCGAGGTTTTTTGTATTTCCATACAAATTGTGAAATTATTTGTTCTAGTTCTGTGAAAAATACCGTTGGTAGTTTGATAGAAATTGCACTGAATCTATAGATTGCTTTGGGTAGTATAGCCATTTTGACAATATTGATTCTTCCAATCCATGAACACGGTATATTTCTCCATCTGTTGCCACAGCAATCAGGGCAGAAAAAGAAGTAAAAGGAATCCAGATAGGAAAAGAAGAAGTGAAACTCTCTCTGTTTGCAGATGACATGATCCTCTACATAGAAAACCCTAAAGACTCTACCAGAAAATTACTAGAGCTAATCAACAAATACAGTAAAGTTGCAGGATATAAAATTAACACACAGAAATCTCTTGCATTCCTATACACTAACAATGAGAAAACAGAAAGAGAAATTAAGGAAACAATACCATTCACCATTGCAACAAAAAGAATAAAATACTTAGGAGTATATCTACCTAAAGAAACAAAAGACCTATACATAGAAAACTATAAAACACTGATGGATAATTTTTAAAATCCATGACTTTATCGTGTATTTAGCTCACTCTCATTATTGAGAGTAGGAGCAACAGTGTCCTCTGACTTTCTTCATCCTAACTGGAAGTGGAAGTCTTTTTCTCACTTCTCTTGGTAACTCCCTCTTGTGTTGTTGTTTAGTTGTTAAGTCATGTCTGACTTTTGCAACCCTACGGACTGTAGCCCACCAGGCCCCTCTGTTCATGGGATTTCCCAGGTGAGAATACTGGAGTAGTTTGCCATTTCCCTCTCCAGGAGGTCTTCCCGACTCAGGGATCGAACCTGTGTCTCCTGCATTGGCAGGTGGATTTTTTACCACTGAGCCACCTAGAAGCACCCCCTCTTGATTACCTCACGTTTATATTTAAGTCTTCCTCCATACCTTTCCTTGAGAGGCAAGTTAAGCCTAGTAAAAACTCTCAGAAATCTATCTGTGCTATCACTTCTACACAGACATTTACTGAGATTTTTTAAAAGACCCAGAAACTATCTTCATAAAAACTAAACCATAGTAGACATTACCTTTGGGGTTACAAAAATTCTACCAAAAACTGAATAGCAACATATATGCTTATTAATCTGGAATGTAGAATTTAGAATTTTGCAGATGGCAAACAAGTATCTAGGCATGAAGGGCCATAATATATACAATATCCATAATAAACGAAGGACTTAACTCATCTGTATTCAGACAGATAAGATTTTGTTTCCTTGTTCCTATCAAGTCTGACCCAGGAAGGACTTAGGGCAGAGTCAGGTTTTCTTAGTCTCATTTTACTTGCGAGGCCTCTGAAATCCAGAGAGAGAGAGAGTGACCACAGAGCCATACAGCCTGTAAGAAGCAGAGGTGGACCCAGGTTCTGGCAGCCCAGCACGGCACCCATTCTGATACTTGTTCAACTGCAATACTGATCAAATGCGCCATAATATCCAAGGGTGACTTTTTTTTAATTTTTTATTTGAAAATAATTTAAAGAACATACAGAACAGTTCAAGGAACAACCACATCTCCTTCACGCAGGTTCACCTATTGCTAACATTTTACTCCATTTCTTTGCGATCTGCTATCTGTCTATCCAGGGCTTCCCACGTGGCACAGTGGTAAAGAACCCACCTGCTAATACAAGAGACGTGGGTTTGACCCCTGGGTGGGGAAGATACCCTGGAAAAGGAAATGGCAACTCACACCTGCATTCCTGCCTGGAAAAAAATCCCATGGACAGAGGAGCCTAGTGAGCTGCAGTCAACAGGATCACTCAAGAGTCGGAAATGACAGAGCAATGGAGCAACGCACACCCATCTGTCTGTCCATCCATCCCCATAACAATATTTTCTGAACCACTGAGAAGACATTGTATAATTATGGCCCTTTACCCCTAAATACTTGAGTTTATATTCCCTAAGGGTTTTGCTACACACTACAGTACAAACATATTTTAAAATGATAACATCTTCTACTATCTATGTCCCCTTTTGTTCACTGACCTAAGAATACATTTTTATCGTTTTCCTCCTACCCCACAGGGTCCAGCACAGGATCAGTTACTGCATATGCTAGTTGTCACTGCCCTTTAGTATTATTTAATCTGGAACATTTCCTCAGCCTTTGTCTTCTATGACATTGACATTTTTGAAGAATATAATCCCCTTTTATTTCTTTGGAGAATGATCTTCATTTTTTACTTCTCTAATGTTTTTTTGTGATTAGGTTCAGGTGGTACACTTCCAGATGGGTTACTGTGAAAGAGATGCTGGGTCTTTCTCGGGTTCTCACATCCAGAGGCACATGATGTCCATCTGTCCCTCACGGTGACATTAATTTTGATCATGTGGTCAAGTTGTTGCCTGGTTTTTCCATTATATACTTATTATTTTCCCCTGAAACTAATAAGGACCTGGGGCAACACCTTAAGACCGTAAAATAGCTTGCTCCTCCTCAAGGATGAATTTTTATAACAGTATTTTTACTATGTTATTAAAAAAAAAATGACCTCTACATCGTAAAAAAACCCTAGGTTTTACTTATTATTCCCGAATAAGTTCCATGCCAATTTTAACATCTGTTTTTATTACAGTAGTCCATGTACACTGGGTGTTTATTAAAAACCATTCATTAACTGTCTGCTATCTTGGGTAGGATACTGGCAATTTGATTTGTAAATTCAACTGGTATTAATGTCCTAATTTTGGTTCAGTTAAAAAGAAATCTCTTTAACTTATGCAACAGTAGGGATTTAGAAATTAAATTAAGGTCTATAACTGCAAAAACATTCTATTCAAAAAAGAAACTTATAAAAGAACTTACTCCTATTTGTTCAAATTACATATGGATTCTGGTTATAATGGTATTAGTTATTTTCCAGCCTTTTCTAAACAGTACCATTTTGGGTGAACTTTAAGTCAAGGTCTTAACTTGGATTAAATATAGTTAGCTTATATAAAATGTTTGAATGGCCAAGTGATTTCAGTTTCTAAGTTTGATAAAAAGCAGAAAGAAGGCAATTTTTGGAAGGCAGAGTAAATTAAAAAAAAAAATTTTTTTTTTCAGAAGTTGCTTTTAAATTAAAAAAAGTACTATGGCTATTGTTTTAGTTTTTAAAGATACCTCCTTTCTCATTTTGCCACCACAGTTTGCAACATACAGAAAGCATGTTTCACAAACTGTCATCATGCTGAGTGGGTATGCCACTAATTCAATAATTCTTTCATAGAAATAAGGAAATCAGGGTGGGTAGGCCAAAGGCTTTCTCTCTTAAAAAGAATATAAACTTTACTATAGCTCCTCTTTTCTCTTTTGAGCTCAATCTCTCATCTATAATTTTGTCATACTTGCAATACAATAAAATTCCAGGCTTTATGACAGAAGAGATATTTTTGGGTTTTGTTGGTTTCTTTCTTTGGTTGTTTCTTGCTTTTTTTTTTGTTTTTTTGATCACTAGAATTCAAAAACCAAAGCTTTAGTGTTTCGGGGTTTTTTCTCTGTTTGTTTTTTGCTTGGGGGTTGCAAGGAAGCATCTGCAGCCATGCGAGGAAGGAAGGGAGAGGTATGAACTCTCAGCAAGGAAGCCCAAACACACGGTGAGGCGAGTGCAGCAGCCCTATCTGTTGGTGCATCAATACCACCAGCTGCAGAATTTACCAACATTATGAAAACCACGTCCGCCAGATGTCATGCAATACAACAGGAAGCCAAATATCTCTGGGCTTGAGGCACGATTCTTCACGCTCTTTCCTCCCATGTTTCAAGGTGTCTTCAGGGGGCCACCAGCAGGGACAACAGGGACCTTATAACAGGATAACAGGGATAACAGCCCACATACAGAGCTTAATAACATGCCTGTCCCCACCAGACAGGCTTCAGTCTTGAAGTCCACCTCTTCCAGGTATTCTTATTGTTGTTCTTGATGTTGTTAAGAGGCAATCTTAGCTCAGATTCTACGTGTCAGGGGCAGGAGAAACTTAACTGGCTACAAGCCAGTTAAGGATTTTTGTGGCTTACCGGGCTTATTATAAAATAATAATAATAATAGCTGTTTTTGCCATTGGGAAGAAAAGAATGTTTTCTTTTTGAATGTTTGAAAATATTTAAAGTCACTTTCCCACTCATTATTTTTTCCTTTAATTTATTTTTAATTGGAAGAGAATTGCATTATAACGCTGTGCTAGTTTCCACTCATTCTTTATACCCATTCTGTTCAGTATGGTAGCCACTAGCCACACATGGCTATTTACATAAAATTTTAAATTCTGTTCCTCAGGCACACCAGCCACATTCAAGTGCTCAAGGCCATCTGTATCTAGTGACTATCCTATTGGACAGCACAGTATAAATACAAAGCATTTCCATCAATACAGAAAATTATTTTAACATTGCTCTTAAACTCATCACCTTTTTTAAATGAGCCATTATGATTCAATTCTCTTTGTACTATGGAACAAAACAATGGAACAAAACAATCTTCCTGCATACTCATATGAAATAAATATATGGATACAATCCAAATACTGTATGAGGAAACAAAGGTGGAAGTGATCTCTGTAATATTTTCACAAACACACGCTGTCCTCACAAAGCCCTGTGATGCTACCAGCTTGCTGGATAATATTCAGAGGCCCGCCTGGATGGGTGTTCCATGACAAAGAAGCAAGAAACTATTCTTTCTTACGCGTCACCTTAATTTGTTAATGATGCCACCTATATCAAACAGTTTACATCAGAAGTTTCCTTACTTACATATCCAAATGTGTAAAATAAATCATGTCCTTTGGAAAAGAGGCTGCCCAGCTTCACAGCTTTGTAATTGAGGTACTTTAATACCAAGTAAACATCGTAGGCCACAGCTGTTTCTAAAAAATTTTATGAACAAGAACAGGAGGCCGGTATAATATAAATCCACAAATGATGCTTCTGACTCCCAGGCTCACCTGCTATGAGGGCGGGGAGGCCACGCAACTCAAGAGGAGCCGCGTGGGCATTCCTGCGATGCTGTAACCCCTGGGGGACGGTGGGGCACGGAACGGGGCGCGTGGGGCGGGGTGCGCAGCACACGGGGCGCAGACCTTTGACCCTGTCCTGAGGATGCCATGTCAGACCACCTGGCACATGAGACAGGCAGCCCTTGCACACACGCGGGCACCTCTGCCCTCACACGTGCAGGGTGCGTCCAGGTGCTGGGCTAACTTTGCCTCGGCTTCCTTTAGGTCTTCCCATCCTCCCCACAAAATCACCCAGCCCCGTCAACCCATTACCCACTTTCTCTTCCCCAGTCCCAGTTTCTTCTTATTCACAACAGACAAAGAAGAACAAGGTGGAAAAAAAAAAAAAGGTTTTTCCTAATTTCCTCTGCTCCATCATCAAAAGCAAAAAAAGATCTGCTCTTTTTCTTTGGGATTGGTAACTGTTCTTTATCAGATTCTCATAAAGATCACAGAGCTACCACCCAAGAGAAGCTAAAAAAAATTCCCTGTGTCCACTTGGCCAGTTAGAGGTTTCCTGGGCTGTCTATAAGACTTTCTGGTCATTCCCCTCCCACCCACTCCTACCCTCTCCCACCCAGCTCTCCCCGCTTACCTTGGCCTTCCCATCCTGGGCGGACATGTATCCAACACACATGCTCTCGGTCGTGTGGCTCCACAAAAATTCCACTGCCAGGGAAGGGAATACAAATAGGCACATTCAGATCACAGATGGAAAATAAATCTCTGCTTTTTAATAGAACAGTTAAAGATAGCTTTATATTCAACACACTCGGCTCCCGACTTTCCATTCGCTCCTTCATAAATGTCAAGATGATTTAGTACTCAAAACTGTGTAATGCCATTTACTGTGAAATGAAAAATGTATTTCTTTCTTGTCAAAACTTATGATTATTACATGTAAAATAAATGCTCCTCTGTTTGAAACTTGTAACATTAAACACACACACATACACGCACACACATTTATGCATACAGTATACAATGATTTAGTAAACATTATATTCCATACCGTAGTTTCCTTTAAAACACACATACACACACACTCCCTATGTCAAGGTTTTTTAAATATCATTCTCTATGAAAAGGAACCGGGGTTCCTTGGAGAAATGTTGATTCCAGGGCCTGGGCAGAGAAAATATTAAACAAATCTGGAACATCTTTTTGTGCCAGAAGATAAGGAAGTCCTCAAAGAATGAGGAAGGCTTGAGAAAGGACCCACGGATCAGCCTGAAGAGACCCCCACTGGCCATATCTGTGTCAATCTAAGTATCAGAATAAATAGTAACAGTAAAGAATTATCATCACTGAACAAAATTTAAATCAATGAGCCCATACTAGTCCCAGGTCCCAGGTTCCAGGTCCCAGCCTGTCTAACTAATACAAACAAATAGGAATAAGTAAAATGGGGGAGAAGAGAAAGCACTTCCTTGCAGCTGAATGCCAACTAATAAATACAGAAGAAATAACAGAGTTAGAAAAGCATCACACTTTCAAAAACTAGGAAAATTTGAAAAGGAGTATGCTTTTTACACAGTCTCAATGGGATCTCTCCAGAAAATTCTTATGAAATACAAAGGGGCAAAGGGTAAGTGAGTTCACTGTGGAGAAACCCAATGGACCCCACTTTAATCAAATGATGGAAGCTAACATCACCCAGTAAGGGGCAAATCAACACAACGTGTCTCCGGATCAGACACCCTGAGACTCACCGCCACTTGTGCAGTGTTCCTGCCAAAAACACAGACTCAGAATTGCAGGGGGAAACACCACACAAATCTGATATAGGAACACTAATAAATAAACTGGCCTGAACTCTTCAAAAGATGTCCAAGTCAAAAAATACAAAGTTGAAAAACTGTTCCCATTTAAAGGTGACGAATGCAGCCCAGGGAATTCCCTGGTGGGCCAGGGGTTAAGACTCTGCTTCACTGCTAAGGGCCCAGGTTCAATCCTGGCCAGGGAACAAAGATCCCACGAGCTGTGCCGCATGTCCAAAAGTAAAGAAAGAAAGAAAGAAAGAAGACAAAGGCGATACGACAACTAAAGGCAATGTGTCCTTCTGGATGGAGCCTGGATAGGGGTGGGGGTGTTTGAAGGGACATTTCTGAAACAAGTGATGGACTTTGAAAATGGACTATGGATTAGAGAATGGTGTGGTATCAATAGTAAACTCTGGGATTTGGACAGCTATACTATGATTACTCAGAAGAACCTTGTTGTTCTTCAGAAATAGGCACTGAAGCATTAAGAGTAAAGGCTCAATCTCTTCACCTTGCTCTCAAGTCATTCAGAAAAGAAAGCGCAGTTTAAATGTGCGTGTGTGTGTAAAGGGAAGAGGAGGGATGGAAGGGAGAAGTAAAGACGGAAAACAAACGGGGGAAATGCGGACAAAGAGCAATGTGGGTTACAGACCACAGGTGTCCCCTGTTCTATTCTCAGAGCCTCTGCATAAACGTGAAATTATACCTAAAAGTTACAGGAAGAAAAATACTGAGATACACACAAAACTCTGTCACCTTCAGCTACTTGCTTTCAAAATTCTTGCTTCCAAATGCTGTGTTAAAGGCATTTTTAAAGCTTTGATGCACTTTACAAAAATTTCACAAGTCCTGGGGAATAAAACTGCCTCGCTCAACACCAAGCCTCCGGGTCCTGAGCCATCCATTTCTCTCTGAGCTAATTGGGTCTGAAGACAGTGTGTGGGCTGAGACACAACTGTGGGCTCCGCGCTCCTGACTCTGAAGGCTTTGCGGAAGGCAGAGGCATGAGAGGCAGCTCTGAGCTCCTCAAATAGCGGCTCACTCCTTCATCATTAACTAGTTCTCAAACCTGCCAACCTGTTCTGCAGATGCTCCGCCTACAAGTGCAAGAAAACAGCATCAGGCAATGAAGCAAGCTCTCTCCACCAGATGCTTTTCCTTCCTCACACATCTGCTTTGAACTTCAAAAAGCCTGATGCCAGAGCAAGGTCTGGGATATTCTAAATTGCCTAATAGAGCAAAGGCCTTCAAGTCTTACCAAACTTCCCTAGTGTAGTGCCAATGCAAGTATATTTAAATACAAAATTCAGGTATTTCCAACACTGTGACCTCTCTTTATTCCCCAAATGTTAAGGTGGTAACTGCTCATGAATTAGCCAAGAAAAAAATGCATGGAAATACAGTCAATTTAATCATGCAAGCAAAGGATAAAAACAGCACATTATTTTTTAAGGCACAATTCTGATGATTTCAAACTACATTATTTTCTGAAAATACAGCCTGCTTTAAGGAAATGTAACACACAAAAATTGAGACTTACAAAGCAGGATAAACTGGGTCTGATGATTGACAACATTAAATATTTTTCTATTGAAAGGTTATCAATAAAGCATCTAGATATAGAGTTTAGGAGTTCTTAAAGTAACTCAATATCTAGAAATTCAGTCTTCCTTCACTCTTTTCACAAATAAACAAAAAAAGGAGGTGCATTTACTAGCACTTTCTTTTTTTTTTTTTGCCTGACCTTGTGGCATATGGGATCTTAGTTACCCAACCAGGGATGGAATCTATGCCCCATGCAGTAGAAGCATGGAGTCTCAACCACTGGGCCGCCAGAGAAGTCCCTAACACACTCTTTTTAATAACAACAATTCACATCAGTTACTAGTTCAGGATAGCTTCAGACACTCAGCAGGAATTGTCTATTTAAATTATAAAATATTTTTGAGAAGAAATCTTATTTACTTTAGTGTATATCTTAACTCAATAACTTAATACACTATTAATAATAATTTAACAAATTATTTCTTGCTGGAGGACTTCAGGGAGGCAGGAGAGGAACTCACAGTGACAATCTTTCATCTGCCAAGCATTGCTTTTCATGGCAGAACTCAGCAAAGCCTGGATGGGGAACTGGGGCTCAGAGAAGGGAGGTAACACTCTCACAGAATAATGGTGGGAGTATGACCGTTTGGAAATACATTCTTGTAATTTGTAGTAGTTATAGTCTGTAAGTTTGCCATGAACACTGAATTAGCAAACACTGAGCCATTGCTCCCAAGGGAAATACAAGGTTAAGGTCCTGCAAGCCTCTGGTCACAACATTTTCAAGAAGTGACCTTATTTGATGTGTATTTTCTGTTTAGAGACACCATACATAACATATGATGGTTTAGTCGCTAAGTCATGTCTGACTCTTGGGACACCACGGACGGTAGCCTGCCAGGTTCCTCTGTCCATGGGATTCTCCAGGCAAGAATCCTGGAGTGGGTTGCCATTTCCTTCTCCAGGGGATCCTCCAAACCCAGGAATCAAACCCGGCTCTCCTGCATTGCAGGCCGATTTCCGCACTACAGGCCCATTCTTTACTGACTGAGCTATGAGCAAAGTCCCTGTAACATATACTTCTTATAGATAATTAATTTTATGCAATATTTCTTTATAGTAATACACTAGCCAAGAAAAGCTCAATACTTTCTTGGCCCTGGAGGACCTGCCCCCAAATTTCGTTGGCTTTCAGCTTCACAGCAATGCTGTCCCTTGTGCTCTTTTCACCAGTTGTCGTCTCCTGACTCCAAAAGTTCTGCTACTTTCCCGGCTCAAATTTCCCCCCACTCTGCTCATGTCCACAAATGACTGGGAAAGTGCTGGGAGCATTGGTCTTTCAATTAGAAGTAAATTTCATCAAGCAAGAAGATTCACAAATACGAATTTGCAAATAGTAAGAATAGACTCCTTTTATCAAAATGACATACACTTTAACCTAGCAATTCTACTTTTAGGTATTGAGTGTACAGATATGCCTTTGTATGTATAAAATAACATCTTTACACAGATATTCACTGAACTAATTTTAATTAGGAAGAAACTGGAAATATTAACAGCATGGTTGTCTTTTGGTGGCAGCATATATGCACAACTATGGTACCCTATTCAATGGAATACTATGCAACAATTAAAAAAGAGAAAGCTCTATGAAGATGATATGGAACCATCCACACTAATTGTTTTTTCAAATGTTTTGCCAGGAACCACAGTAAAACCAAAGCAAAACAAAAAAGCCCCCTACATTGTCACTGAGTACGTGGTTTCTTTCTATTCTGTGGGCTCTTTATAGTCTATGTGCTACAGTGAAAAGATTCTGCTCCTCTTGACTCACTAAATTAGACCTCATTAATGTGACATGCTACAGTTTGGAAAAAAACACTAATCTACAAAATATACAGTTTATCTAAAAGAAAAGACAAAGTGAAGAAAGATGGTAAAAGATGATACTGCTCATTTCTGTGAAAGAAAATGACAGGGCATCATGGATGACTCATGTTTGTAAATACATGAGCTCTCTCTGGAAGAACATCAGAGGAACCAGCAACAGTGGTTATCACGAGAGAGGCAACTGGTGATTCAGGAAGCTGAAAGCGGGGCAACCTACTTCTCACCACATATCCAGCAGCTAAGATGCTGCCTTCCAGTTCAGAGGGTACAGGTTCAATCCCTGGCCAGGGAAATAAGATCCTACTTGCCTTGCAGCCAGAAGACCAAAACCTAAGGCCCGAGCAGTATTGTAACAAACTCATTTACATAGAAGAAAAACAAAGATGTAAGTCCTACTCAGTAAAGGAGCTGTATTTCTCACCACCGGTGACACCAAGAA